AGGGCATAAGCTGAAAAGTAAAAAAGTCCGTTCCATTGGCTCCTTTTGGCTGGTAAACAACATGGTATAGTAGTTATGAGTGTTGGACTGAGGGCCATTTTCAAGTCCCTGCTGAGCATGAAATATTAATGTATTTACCTGCAGCTTGTTACTTTTGGGGTAATCAAGTTGTAACTTACCTAAAGAATAGCTGGAAAGTTACTTTTTGGTTTGCCAAGTAATGTTTTCTGATTAGTTTCAAAGACATTATATGGCTTTTTAGAGGCTATGGCTGAAATCCAGTAGTAATTCACAACTAGAGTAAGCCTCTTGAATCAGTGGAATTTACAGAGAAGCTGACTCACCAAATCCCACTGATTCAATGAGAAACTCTAGTTGCCATTTACTTCTGGCTTTCAGCCAATTTGATAGGACTTTTAGACATTTTATGCCATTCTCTCATTAATACTAAATGACAAGAGAAGCATTGTTTATTTTTTGCCATTATTCTGTAAGTCTGGGGCTACATTCCTTTCTCCTCTTTCCCTTTTGAATAGTTTCTGTCAGTTTAAAGGTGCAGTTCCTAACCCACATATGTGGGCCCTAGTTCACATTTGCATTCCAAAAGCAAGCACAACCTGCATTTTCTGGCTCTCTTGCATGGATCTTCCCACATAATGTTTGCATATTATTTTTAAAACCCACAAGGAGTGTCTTGTAGAGCTGTCCTTCTGCTTTGAAATACTAAGTTGTCCTGCACGGAGAATTTCAGATCTCACATATAGATCTAGCTAAAAACGAGATTGTAAAAAATACACTGGAGGATGCAATTATATCTATGTTACAGAATTATTAGTTCTTCAAGGTGTACCAAAGAGCCAAAAATCAATGGCTGCTCCTTCAACAGAATATTTGGCAATAGAAGAAAAATCCAGATATGCTTTGTTGTCCTGTAGGCAGGAGTGGTAGAAGAAACATGATGGACACAAAACAAAGGAAGAAAGATTAGCTTTGAAACTTATTAGAATGATGTGTCTTGAAAGCAAACACTTTTATAGTGAAATAGACACCTTTATAATGATGCCTTAGGTGGATTGTTTTCATTTTGCATTTTAGAGTAAGGAGGATATGGTATGATATAAGATCATTGATGTGTCACTAAGATATCATGCAGGGAGAGAAACCTTGAGACTGTGCATTGTAGAAAGGGCTAATTGCTTTTCTTCAGCTGGAGGAACAGCTGTGATGCAGACTGTAGAAATATTCAACTGCATTTGCAATGTTCTCACAATCCAACTTCTGTGAGCGCTCCAAAGCAGGATAAGGACAGCTCATATCAAAAGTGTCTCCAGATTTTGCCTCAGATGAGCTGAATCTCTCATTCTGGTAAGGTGGGAACAAGAGCTGAGAAAAATCTCTCCTGTGGATTACAGCTTTCAGAACACGAGCATTGCCCCTGCAGTCGGGTGAAACCATGTCACCACAGAATAGGATTTTATGGAGTCTGGCACAATTGTGTCTCTGCTCCTGAAGCCTTCTTCCAGACATCACCCAGCATGTGCACTGTCTCTTCTTCTAACCTAGTGTGATCATGAATGATCATAGCATATCAACAGAAGGCTTCTGAATGACAGACACCTCTGGAATGAATTGCTGAGATTAAAAGAAGATGGGTCACCTAGAATGCAAAACAGATTTCAAGACAAAAGCAGAAAATTTGGTGGTGGACATCTAAATAAAGTCTTTTTTTTTCTGAAGTAGAAAACAGAATGTTTTGCTCATCTCTGACACATGCATACCAGAGGTTGGGACTTCAGTTCCTCACTGTGCCTCCTTGACAAGGGCTGGACTTGATGGTCCATAGGGTCCCTTTCAGCAATGCAGTTCTAAGATGATGATCATATTCTGCATCTCAACGCTTACTTTTTTTATCTTCAGATGTTGCAAACAAACTGGAGGAATGAATAAGATGGCATCCAAAAATGACAAACCAACCAACCCAAACTACAACTAGATGGAAGGCCACCAATCTCTTTTAAGACCATAAATAACTCTTCTTACTTAGAGAATGCACTATTGAATGGCCTTTGTCTGTATCCAAATATGTCTTTGGCCTGTTGCTGTGTCGACTCACATTTTTAAAAGAGAACCTCGATATGCACCCTGATTCCAGAAAGCATTGCCATGCTTTTGGAGTATGTAGTGTGGAGAGTAAGGGAAAGCCACAGGTTCTAAGAACAGCCTTTGGTCCTTTTTTATCAGTAAAACCTAGGATTTCTTTGGAAATCCTATGAGTCACAGTTTTGTAGGGCCAGGGTGGTTGTGCTTCACTGAAGAGGAAAGACTCAATGAAACAAATATGGCTCACTGTGGTACATGGGCCATGAATAAATTAGGACTGAACCCTTATTAATACTGATAGTCAAAACTTGGGAAAGTCACTCTTTTAGACTGTAACTCTGAACAGCTCCCAGATAGTGAGATTCTAAGTGTCTAGTCCAAAAAAAAGACATATTTCAAGCTCTGCCATAGTAGGGAGGATCTTGTCACTGCACCCTGTCACTCCTTCTCCTCTAGCATCTACTGATTAAAGATGCTACTGGAAGGTAGACCAGCCCAACTAAAACCTTCCAGAAAAACAAAGAAAGATTTGGGAATGGTGCCATTTTCCATGGATGTTATGGTTTACAACATAATTCATTTTTAAAATACCTGTATAGAATGGGAATTAGTATTGATACAACTTGCGGCCTAAGTTGCCTTTGCTATAGGTAACACCAGATTGTACACAGACACACATGAAATGAGGATTGGCAAGCTTGATTTATACTAAATTAAAACTTTATTAAGTAAGGTTTGTTCTCCAGAAAATGTGATTTGATGAATTATGGTGGCATTCATGCAATCAATGATCTTGACAAGAAAGATTTAAAACGGAGAATGTCAAACAACTTAGTAAAATATGTTATATAAACTGCAAAACCTGTGTCACTGCAAAAGTAAAACCAACGCTATGTTCCAGCTTGAACCGTGTTGAACTAAAAGGCACTGTGGTTGAAAAAGAAAATAAAAATGGATATATTTCCTTAGCATATATTTCAAATAAATTAGAATTGTACTCTTTCAGCCTCACTTGCACCTCAACAAAAACGTATGTGCAAATATCAAAATTGTCACTGAGAAAGAATGAACTATCAAAATTGAAGTGAATTGTAAAGTTTCAATGTTACGGAGCTGATTTGTAAGTGAACAACAAAGAAAAAAATTCTTATTACTGTAAAACCAATGTAGGCATGTATTATTAGTACAGCTCAAAGGAGATTGTATAAGGGTCCATTCACACAGTCCACTGGGGTTGCAGTTATCACGTGCCACCTTTAAGTCTTTCTTTCATCCATGATGTGATTGGTAATGTCCATTTCATAACCTTCAGCTATTCTGTGACAACTGCAGTACTACAGGAGATACATGGATGTGTAAATTGTCCCCAGGTTTCTCACATTATTGGCAGGCTAACA